AAAAAAACGTCGAAGCGTCCAGAAAGTTCATTTTCATGTCTATATAACACATCGTTTGAGTGTTTTGTGTTAATGAAGAAATATCGAAACCCTGTACGTTGAAGCGCATTTTGTTGTCATTTTTATCCTCTTTTATTAGGGTATTTAAATTCTGGAATGGGTTTTTGTTGTACGTTTCGGTGAATTTCAATACATTAAGCCTCGGGGTTTAAAAAAACACTATATGGATTGTTTACGTGCACGATTGTCCTTTTTTTCCCCCACCATTATAAAGTCAATGTATGTGTGCTGATCGTCAGTATTATCCACGATATACTTCACGTTCAAACCATTGAAAGGCAGTCTGCTGACATTAGGTTGTTTTTTTTTAAGTTTGATTCAGGAGATTTTTAATTTGTTGGTGCACTCACTCTGTACAGGTGTTGACCATATGTTCTCATCCTTAACACGTAGAGCACAGGCTTTCAGTTGGGGTTTCGCAGAAAGGGTTCTTGTGAAGTCCCAGTATTTAAATAGATAATTTATGTATATTCTAGTGTAGTGCATCACATGCAGAAACAACTATCCTGTTCGGTTTTATGACGCTAGTTGTTGACATCTTGACTCGGTGCCAAACTGTTTTTGTATATTTAAGGCTGAAAAGAAAAGAAAGCTGTTTAAGCAAGTTACAAATAAACAAAGTTTAGGTAATAGTTATGTCGGAGTTCGCAAGAACTTCGTTCTTGTCGAAAGGGTTCGCAGAGCGCAAAAGGTTAAGAACTTGACGTGGACTGTCGCCATATTGAGTAGTTAAGTTTTACTCAACATCCCAAGCTCGAGGTGGTTTTAGAAGACTTGATCACAAATGGCTTCGCTAGCAGCGATTTCTGCTTATTGAAAAAGTGCGTGTAGGTGGTCAATGTATGTAAACCACGGCTGTGTTATATTCTTGGAGATTTTGGACACGAGAAACTGAGTCGTGTAGCATAGACAACACATATTGTATAACCGCAGGGACGCTTGGTTGTTGCCCATGGTTTCGTGTTCTATTATTCATGAGTAAAAACAAAACACGTATACTTGTCGTTTTTTATTTCCTTACGAATGAATGGCATTTTAGGATTATAATTTCCAGAACGTTGAACTGTTTCTTGTTGTAGAATTATGCCTTCCGAGGTACCAATCAATATGATTGATAATAATAATGTTTATTAAGTTTTTCAGCTCCAATGTTCTTTGTTTTGTTTTTCTGTTCTGTCGTTTTGTGTTATTAAATCCTCCCCCCCCCCCGAAATACGGTATTTTAGGATATTACACTGAAGAATTTTCTAGAAGAAAATTCACGTGGATTATCCAAGTCTGTGTCTGTATTGTTTTCGGTAAGTCCCAAAACACACTAGCAACTTTTTGAACGATTTATATCAGTTTATTTGTCATTATATTATATACACGTGATTTTTTACTTAGATATCCGGGGTTTGATTCCACTGCGATTGATAAAGTGCAGATAGACCATTGTATAGCTTAGCAGTTAAAAAACAACAATAAGAACAACTAAGAAAGGACTTAAAACGTATGTTATGAACTTGATTTTTACTACTGGACATGAAAGAGGTGTTTTGAAAGATTGTGTTGCCCTAAGCAAAACTTGGTTGTAATTTTCTTACTGGAATATATAATGAGCCACTCTTTTCAACTGCAAAATAAATGCAGGAAATTTTTTTTAACGATTTTAAATTATTTATCAATGGCTAAAGAGCGTGATAGATATATATATTTCGTGTGGTTGTTCTATCGTGTTAGTTAACATAAAATTACAGTTTGGATTAGTTAAATTTGAGTACTCTCTTTATGTTGACGGCCAGATATGGCCAAGTGGGTAATGTGGACGAAAAGTCTGTGGTTCACTTCCGTTGCTGAAAGAAAAGAAAAAATGAATTCGCTCCACACTTTGGGCATGTCCGTACAATGTAATAGTGACATTCACATCCCACTGTTCAGTAGGCAAGAGAAGCCCAAGAGTTGGTGGTGGGTGCTATTAAATAGCTGCCTTTTCTCTAGTCTATTTGTGTTCAAATCCCCGTCACACCAAACATGCTCGCCCTTTCAGCTGTGGGGGCATTATAATGTGATGGTCAATCCCACTATTCGTTGGTAAAAGAGTAGTCCAAGAGTTGGCAGTGGGTGCTATTAAATAGCTACCTTTCCTCTAGTCTATTTGTGTTCAAATCCCCATCACACCAAACATGCTCGCCCTTTCAGCCGTGGGAGCGTTAAAATGTGATGGTCAATCCCACTGTTTGTTGGTAAAAGAGTAGTCCAAGAGTTGGCGGTGGGTGGTGATGACTAGCTGCCTTCCCTCTAGTCTTACAATGCTAAATTAGGGATGGCAAGTGCAGATAGCCCTCGTGTAGCTTTGCCCGAAATTCAAAACAAACATAACTAGTCTATTTGTTGACTTTATTTTTAATTAATATCAGTGACACTGGGTTTTATCTAGGTTAAGATGTACAGAATAGTTTATGTTGATTTTTCTTATCAGATATGATAATTGTTGGTGGAAATGTGTGTGTGTGTGTGTGTTCTTTTTCCTTTTTTATGGTAAGAATGTCATAATAAAGATTGACACACACACACACATGTATGCAAATGCCTCTTTGAATGCTTAAGTCCTCCTTTGAAACTTGCTCACACAGCTATAGTTTTCATGTTATATCATGTGAATATACATGATACATCAAGACTTGTTGATTGTTTATTCATTTACTTGTTCAACTTCCTGAACTTTTTTTAAATTCAAAAAAATTGAAAAGACTATTTTTTACAACAGAAAATAAATTGAGATGCTTCTTTTGTGTGTGTGTGTGTTTTTACTTTTTTCAGTTTTAAACCCTTTTTTATTACCCAAATATACTCACAAATGAGATGTTCCAGCCCATATTCCCCTTCATATTGATTTTGTTTTTTGTTCCTGTTATTAGATATTGAAAGGTGTATTAGGCACCTGTTAGTAGTTAGTAATGCCAGGTTGGAAAGCTCATTCCGCATTTTTCAGCGGAATACACTTCACATTTTCAGCTGTGGGCACATTGCAAAAGTGGTAGTCAATACCATTATGTGGTGGGCTGGGTGTGGCTTAGTGGTTAGCTTGCCCATAACACTGATAAAATATGGTCTATTAATTCTGCAGGAAATAAACTATACCTAAACAATGCCAGCGAGGTTCGTTCAAACTGTATGTTTTGTGCAAGTAGAGGCAACCAGGAACAGAAAAAGAGATTGCACTTTTTAACACAGAAAAAATTATTTATAATTAATACAATTCCACTTGTTGTACTAGTGCATCCAAAACTGTTAACTCTTATTTCTTCCAGATGGTAATGACCCATGGGTCCACAGTTACTACTCAGTGTCAAGAAGGGGGTTGCACTGCAATTTGTCAAAGAGTACTATCATTGTACACACCAAACATGTGTTATGCCCATAATTAGGAATGCTTTTCAGGGTTCTGCTCTTCCTGCACGTAACCAGGTATTCTGGGATACTGGTTGGAACTGGTTATCCTCATGTTCTGCTGTGTTGTCACAGCAATAGAGTGGTGACTAAAGATTTAGAATAAGATATTGTGTCAAAGAAATATTTCATGAAAGAGGTTGAAACTGTGGCATTATGATAGGATATTCAAATCAACTTTCACATTTCATAGTTTATAAAATGCATGATTTTGGGGTAAGATGTAAAAGTAAGAATTAGACAAGAGTATTTAATATTATCTTTATTAACCACATTACTATCATTTTTAGTAATAGATAAGTTATGTTCTCTCCATCCTCCTTTTTTTTTCCAGTGAAAAAAATGGTTAACTTTGAAGCTTATAAAAACAACAACAACAGGATATTATGAAATGTCATGGCTTTGCTTTTCTGGTTTCTTGTGTGTACAAAGTTAATATCACCATTAAAACCCATAATAGAAAGAAGACATATTATAGTACAGATTTTGTGATAACCTTTTAGTTAACTAAAATAAAACGAAGATTTGTGGAAACCTAGTTTTAATGAGGATTGGTTCTGTCCTCAATATTTATGTTTTGAGACTAGGAAGTTATTGAAAGCATGTGATGAAGATTAAAAATCAGTTAAAAAAGATAATACATTGGAATTATCCACAGTTGGAAGATTTAAGATGTGTATTTAAGCTGGTGTGTAGAATAAATAAAGTTTTTATTTTTAGATATAAAGGTTGAATGTGATATATCAATATAGGTATATTAAATGTAATTTATTTTATATAGGTTCTACCACTAGAGGGTTAAAAACACTTATAAAAGAGCATGCAAACTGGAGATCCATTTCATATTCAAGTGTTAAGAGACATGAACCTATAAATAGAGAGAATTTTAAAATCTTGGCTAGGGCTAATAATGAACAGGATCTAAGAATAAAGGAAAGTATTAATTGATAGACTCAAACATAGATTAAATGAGCAGGACAATGGAATTCATTTATTATTAAAGTTATAAGAGTTAGCATTTTGCATTTTAAGATGTTGTTTCTGTCAATTTGATTTCATTCCAGAACTGTCTTACAGTTTAGATACTGTTGGTCTAAGCACATTTTTCTAATTTAACATTTAGAGACTTTGTGAACAGTCATTAAATGCCATAATTTGAAATCAAACTAAACATTTTTATGCTTGTTTTAGAAAAACGTGCGTGAAATTATCTGTCATTATATACATAATCTTAAGCCTTACACTTTTCAGGTTTACGAAGAAGTCAACAACTGTTGTCATGCTGTCTCGGAGCGACTTGGTACTCAAAAGTATTTTTTTGGTGAAAGGTGAGTCATCAAATAACATCTTTTGATTTAGCCCATCTGCTCTAAAGCATACAGAAAACTGCGTACAAAACCACAAACGTTGGTTTAATTAAGCACTTAAAAACAGTAACTTGTAAAGGAAATATTTAGGAAAGTGTAATTAGGTTTCCAATGTGAAGTATTAGAAATACAGACAGATTGTTTTCTTTTCCTATACAATAAACCATGTTTGTTGAAACTTTAGAGGGGAAGTTTTTGTATTTCAGTGATACAAAGAAAAATTGTCCTTAGAATTGGGAAGTGTGTTCATTTCTATAATATGGACCTAAGTATGCAGTTTGAAGTCACTCAGTACATTTGTACCAGGAAATACCAGCAAGAGAAAACTGGAACATAATAAATCGGTGTATGTGTAGATGATTTTGTAAAAACCCTTACTGTAATGAAATCAGACATAAAAATATACCATTACAGGCCTCGAGCTACTTAATCTAGAGCACCAGAAACAAAATTAAGTCAATTGTACACTTGTTTTTGTTAAAGTAGAACATGTTTTTAAATTATGTAGTAATCTAATAACAAATGATTGGGATTAGGGTTTTTAATGTGATCCGAAGAATGCTTGTGATAAACACTAACAAACTGTTATGAATTTACTGGTTTTTGAAATTTCTCAAATGCTTTTTTTTTTTGTCTGTAGAAGTGTGTGTATAAAATTAACAACTACCAATAGGTCATATAAATAAAATAATTGTAAACTATTTTCTTTTTTTTGTTATGTGTGTCAGAATAAACCTGAAATTTTATTTAAAAATTTTTTATGTAAGAGATGGAAACAAATCACCATTAAGTCAAAATGCCACCAGGTTACAGAACTTTAATATATCAGAAAAGTGTTGAATGTTGTTTTAACAAGCAAGCATACATATGTCTCTAATTACTCTCGTAATTTGAGATTTTGTAAAAAACTATGCTTTGAGACATTTAACATTTTATTAAGCTGCCACCAGAAAGGTGTGTATAAAGCATGACAGTTTTGTAGGACTGCTAGAAACTGAAATTGTATAGATTTACAAGCCACAAAATATTTTTCATCATATCCATACTATAAAAGAAAGCAACAGAATACTAATTTGATTTAATACTTACTACAATTTTTGTTTGTGCTCTCATTCCATATTAACCAAATCTACTGTTGTAAAATATAAGCAAGATTTTTTAAATGTCTGCCTTATAGTTATAGCACTTTGCCCATAAAATTAAAATGTTGTATAAATACTAATTCCTCTGCTTTTTTTTCAAGTATTATATATATCCACTGATGCCAGTGATGTGAGTTTGGAAATAAAATGCACACTTCAACCGTTTAGTTAATTTTAGTAGTTTCTCTAAGATTGTAGAAAATGTATTGCTGTTGGAAATATCTTCCAAACTGTAGGTTTAACTTTCCTGGGTGTTTTTGAAAAACCAAGTGGTACGTCTTTATTCACCCTTCATTTTTAATACTTAACGTTATATCTCTCTAATTTAAATACCATTTGCACTGTTTATTTGTGGAGTTGAAACTTAATGTGTGGATACAAGATGAAAGAACCTAACATAAAAACTAGTATGAAGATAAATCCTACTGACTCTTGTTTTCAAATTACAACTGCTATTGTGTGTGATTCTAGTTTACTTTTAATATATTTCACTTTGAGGTTTAAAAATGAATTCAGATTTAATATTAAACAACTTGATAATACATTTAGTTGTGGTCAAACTGACATTGTTTGTTTGTATAGACCCACTGAACTAGATGCCCTAGTATTTGGACACTTTTTCTCCATCATCACTACTCCTCTTCCTGACAACAGACTAGCTGCAACTGTTCGTGGATATCAGAATTTAATTGATTTATGTAAGACTGTAGATGAAAAGTTCTTCCAGAAGAAACAAGAAGAATAACGTTGTTTGGACCGGAATTTTTTTTCTTCTTAAGATTTTTTAGTTTTGATATGGCTTACTTGTATCGATGAGTTTGATTGATGTATAGCTTGTATAGTATTCAGAAATGTACTAGAATAATAAAATTAGTATTATGTGTGTGTTTTTGGTTTCATTTTTGATCATTTTTTAATACTAAATTATAACGCAACAGATGTGTAATTTTTACAATAGATTAGTATAAGTGGATGTACAATTTTAGAAGTAATATCCTTGCCAAGACTGGTCTGTTTAAAACAAGTTTTCTTTAGTAAATTACTCGTATCTTCTTACATCCAGCTAGTTCAGTGTCACTGAAAAAAAACCGGTATTGAATAAGCAAACCTCTTTAGTTTTGCCATTTATTATAACCTTCTGTCAGATTAACTATATTCTCAACTATATAATGTATCTTTTAAGATGCAACATGTTTCTATAGTGACAACACAGTCCATTTCTATAGAGACTAAGTACACTGAAAACACATTCAGTTTGTATAATGATAAATGAAGACACTATAGCTTTCTAAGAATGTATTGCATTCTAACATAATACCTTAATTCTTATAAGCCATTACTTTCATAATGACCCTTTAGGATGAGATATTGGCATTTTCTATAATGACCTGACAGGATGAGGTATTGGAGTGTTCTATAATGATCCTACAGAATGAGGTATTGGTGTTTTCTATAATGATCCTACAGGATGAGGTATTGGTGTTTTATATAATAACCTGAAAGGATGAGGTATTGGCATTTTCTATAATGATCCTACAGGGATGAGGTATTGGTGTTTTCTATAATGACCCAACAGGATGAGGTATTGGAGTTTTCTATAATGACCCAACAGGATGAGGTATTGGAGTTTTCTATAATGACCCAACAGGATGAGGTATTGG